TAAAAAAGCAAATCAAGAATAAATCTGCGCGAATACAAAGGCGCTTTTGTCATTCACTGTGAGTCACGCACCAATCCTGGACCATGCGCGTCAATTCATTTTGTTTGCAATTTCGGACGCGACGAGCGCGCTTTCTCCTCCTGTTCCGGGCAAACGATACAGGAAAAACGACAAAACAAAAACAAAAATAAAAATAAAAAATACAAACACGCGGCCCGACTGCGAGACGACCCCCGTTTGCGCCAAAACGCCGGCATTTCCAGAATCGGATCGCATCGTTTCGGGCGCGACTACATGCGTTATCGGGGACAAGAATGCGATTCTGGGGAAGGGGTAAATTGTGAAGGCTGGGAAGGAAGGGGGAGGAGGAAGAGGAATGGAAGGAGGGAGAAGGACAAAGAAGGAAAGGGAGAGGAAGGGGAGAAAGGAGAAAGAAGAGTAAAAGAAGGGGAAATAGAAGAAGTAGGCAGAAGAGGAGAAAAAAGGAGTAGGAGATACACATGACGACATTTACATGCAACGTACGGAATGCAGACACGTCGAGACTATAGAATAAGCGTGACAGCGACGGACACGAGATGGTGTGCGGACAAATTTACATCTAATGGACATAATATTGGATGCGTGTAATCACAGCAGATGTGTGTTAGTAAAATATTGAAGTGTGAGAGTGAGAATGTATAAGCGTGTATGTATGTGTGTATGCAACAGATGAGCTCCAAGGCAGGAGAAGTGTAACAGCCTTTTGGAGAGGATGAAGATAAATGATCTTAGGACTTGAGGAGACTGGCAGGGAAGAAGGGGAGAAGGAAGGGACAAGAGAGAATGACGGGAAAAGGGTGGGGGGGGGGGCGCGAGAAAGAGAGAAAGAGAAAGAGAAAGAGAGAGAGAAAGAGAGAGAGAAGAGACAGAGAGAGAGAGAGAGAGAGAGAGAGAGAGAGAGAGAGAGAGAGAGAGAGAGAGAGAGAGAGAGAGAGAGAGAGAGAGAGAGAGAGAGAGAGAATTAGAAAAAAAAGGAAAAGCAAGGCGCCAAATTCCAACTACCCAGCAACTACGTTAGTTACCTCCCCACCCCTTCCCTCCTCGGCCTCGTGCAAAGAGCATCCTTGCAAAAGTCAATACAAGGCCGTCGCGGCAACGAACGTACAAGCGAGCCCCTCCCGCCGTCCGCCACTTACCATATTAGTATCAACCGGCCTAACTACGCGCTGTCGTATCCATGAAGCGACAGTTACGGTCCGGATATTACCTGCAGGGAACGCGTCGCTGTCACGTTAATGCGTGATGTTACACCTGTGTTACGACCGCGGATCTGGGCTGCGCTGAGCTCAGGGGAGTGGGGAGGGAGGGAGAGGGGCGGGTGGAATGCCTAAAGTCTTAAATAAAGATTATACACGGGTATTTGAAGTGTTTTTAAGGGAGGTGGGGGGCGAGAGGACATGGAGGGCTGGAGGTGATCTAAAACCGTATGGATACAATTAAGCTAAAAATCCAACGGTAAATGGCGCCGATAGAGCCAAATTAGATGTAGGTATAAAAATGGCAAATTACTACAACAGCCGTTATTGGGCCAGAGTGTCGCAAAAGCATTAGGCGGGGAGGTGCATACACGGGGAAATCAACCTTCTGGTTAGGCGCAGTAATGGAGAAATTATGTCCCATCACATTACGATTGACGGCTACATTAAGCTGTCATGAGCACTGATGTCCGCTTTATTCTGCGCCCGCTCACTGCGCTAGACCCACGCGCGCCAGGTACGGTCTGCCACGTACGCCTCTCTCTGCTCCTCTTTTGCTTGCGTTGCCCGAAGCTATTTTCGTTTTTTATCAGCTCCTTATTTCCCTTCCCTGCGTATGAGTTTACTCAAATTTCTTTCCCTTTCCTTCTTTTTTCGCTTTATTTATATTCTTTTTGTCTTTCTCTTTCCAACACTTCCTTTCCAAATATCCCTATTTCTAATTTCTTTCTTTCTCTCTTTCACACACACACACACACACACACACACACACACACACACACACACACACACACACACACACACACACACACACACACACACACACACACACACACTACTCTCTCCATCACGCTCCACCTTTTCTTCACTCTGTTTCCTTAATCACATAATCCCCAATTAGTTCATTTATATCAGCATTCCCTCTCCATCCCTCCACTCTAACACGTATAATCATTAGCTATCTCATTGCCCGCTATTACTTTGTCTTGCCCGTCTGTGCTTGCAGCGTTGCTCAACCTGGCTCTCGTTGTTCCTTTAACCAGCCTTTATGCCTGCCTGCTTGCCTGTATGGCCATTTTCTTACCTGCCCGTCTCCCTGCTCGTTTGCTTGCAGGCCTGTCTAGTTGCTTGCAAAGCGCTCGCTCCCGTCCCTCCCCCCCTCCTCTCTCTCTCTCTCTCTCTCTCTCTCTCTCTCTCTCTCTCTCTCTCTCTCTCTCTCTCTCTCTCTCTCTCTCTCTCTCTCTCTCTCTCCTCTCCTACTCGCTCTTTCAGCCAGTGGATCATTGTTCATCCCATCACTTCCAAGACAAATCCCTCAGAGACAACAGGAAGGTTACGGTGATCGCCTCCTGGCAAGACCAGCGCCCGAAGGAAGAGAAAGGAAGGCAAGGGAGGGGAGGGTAAGGGAAGGGGGGAAGGGAAGGGAAGGGAAGGGAAGGGAAGGGAAGGGAGAGGAGAGGAGGGGAGGGGAGGGGAGGGGAGGGGAGGGATGGGTTGGAATGAGATGGAAAAGGGGAGGGAAAGGAAGGGGAGAGAAAGGAAGGGGAGGAAAGGGGTGGTAAGGGAAGGGAAGGGAAGGGAAGGAAAGAGGGGAGGGAGGGAGGGAGGGAGAGGGAGATGGTATGAAAGGGAAAAGAGAGAGGAGGGAACTAAAGGAATCATCGAGGTAACCCGACGGTAAAATTTGCTTTAAATTGGACTCGGGTACCCTGGGGTAGGGGATAGTGAGAGGTACGGAGACTGTGATGGGACAGGGCTAGGGGCGAGGACAAGGACAGGGGGCAGGAGTAGACTTAGGGGTAGGGAAAAGGGTGAGAGAGGAAGGCTACCGCCCACACGGACGCGAAGCTCTTTAATTTGCTTATCCTCCGGTTGAGGTAGAAGCTATTATTCCGATGCTCTGGTGTACCTGTGTGAGTGACAACATGCAAAACAATGAGTGAGAGACGAGATCCCTTTAAGATGATTGATTTCCAATATCTAGAAATACAAAGACTTTATGCAGCATTCGGCTTGTTTCAAAAGAAACAGTACGAGAGGAAGCGAGAGAGAGAGAGAGAGAGAGAGAGAGAGAGAGAGAGAGAGAGAGAGAGAGAGAGAGAGAGAGAGAGAGAGAGAGAGAGAGAGAGAGAGAGAGAGAGAGTAGGCAGAACAGAATTAAACACGCATAATGAACAGCTCTAATCCTCTTGATATATATCTGCCACGCAAACTTAATAATTGATATGAGCGATCCAAATTTAATTCAGTTATTACTATAATCTTGCCGAAGTTATTTCTAATTGACTTCTTTATCACAGCACATCTTCCTTTGACCCTTTTATATTAGATCAAATTATACGCTTTCATGGCCGTGAAGGCTACTGAACAAGAAGGCTACACAATGCAGCGAAACGTTAACCGTCGCGTTAAAGAAAAATACTGAACAATAATTCTTCAGACCCGTGCAACCCACCTCACTGCAACAAAACATCCAACTCAACCTTCGCATTACCAGCTGTCTTGCAACGCCCCAATGAAAGTACTCAAAGGACTGCCAAGTACTTCTGAGCCAGATAAAAAGGTGCTAAATTCCCTCGCGTGTCCCGCTGACTCATTTAGCAAGGAGCTCTCCTCGAGCCGCCGCAGGTAACCTCCATAACTTAGAAGCTCTCGGCTATTTCGGTGCATGAATCCTGGAGATGACTTTATGCCACTCCCATGACGCCAAGTCCGCGACGTTGC